TTCAATCTTCTTCCAAGACTCCATGGATTTGCCTCCCTGAATCCTTGGGCATTTGCTCCTTCCTTTCTCCTTTGCTCCTTGAGGATTTGATGAAAAGATTCTCCAAGCACCAAAGAGATGGTACCTCTAAGTCTCCACATCAAGATAGAGATGTGAAGCAAGATGGAAGGCTTATAAGAAGTTTTGATGCTAGTAAAACTTGTTCTATTGCCAGCTGTTTAAGGGAGAAAGAGGAGATGAAGCACCTCTAAGTTTCTCTTCTTCTAACAACCCTAATGAGGGTTTAGTTATAACACATTAACACCCCTTTTGTAGCCCCTCAAAATTGAGTGATGTGAATGTAATTAAGCTCTCTCTCTCTCTCTCTCTCTCTCTCTCTCTCTCTCTCTCTCTTTATGGGCAGTTTTCTCTAGTCATTGGGTTTGTGTCACATTTGGTTTAAGTTGACATACAACTTAAGCTTAATGGGCATTATGGACCAAAGGCCATTGGGCCTCAAAAAACTATTTAATCGATCTTATCCATCTCAATTATAAATCTTCATACTTATCCTTACATGGTGTACGATCCATTAGGTTCCAATTAGCGAGGCAGTGGGTAATTATAAATCTTATTAATCGATTGTGAATTAAAACTTCCTTTCAATTCTCTCTTTGATGAGATTAGTGATAGCTAATCTTCGGGGCTTACACAAACCTTGAGTGACACCTAGTCGTATGTTATGGCTTCCTAAGCTAAATAGAAGTTATTGGAGAACCTATTAAGTTACAACTATAATGCAATGTGGTTCTTCTCTAATTCAATACTCTTGATCAAATTGTTTGGTTGATAGTTCTATTACATGTCTACTATCTAATGTGATACTTCTTTATATGATTCTATTGAATATGATTTGGAACATACTTCCTAAATCATATTCATATGTTTTAGCCAAAGACTCCTAAATATATTTTATAGTATTCTCCTTCCACTATGGAATGTTAGATATCCCTTATTGTACCCTCACATATGCATGTCTCTCTGAGTTAATAAACGATTGCAACAATGCTAGGAACTTGCCCAAGGTAATGCATGGTCTTGTTACATTGTCAAATGATCAAAGACATACCCACATGACAACTGTGATGTCTCAGGTCGAATGACTACTTTTTATTATTGTAACCAATGAGTTCTTACCTGATATGTATGCTTGTTGATCGTTGTTCAGTATACCTCACCAACCTTTGGAGCACCTATTTGTTTGTCTTAGTGTCCGAACACTAATGGCCTTGAGATTAGTCATACTTCCATTTGAGTTGACTAACACATACTAGTGTTAGTGAATTGTCAATGCCCAATTGATAATCCTATGGTTAGGAACATTTTAGAAATGAACGTAAGAGAAAGATCTCGTTGGTTTAACACTTATATCACTTCTAACTTAGGTTGATTACATTCATTGGATTCTGTTCTTGATTAAACACATAATACATTAAATAGTGATTAACAATAAACCATGTCCTTCCATTAAACTAAACAAGAGTTTAACATGATAAGTTCCAAAAGTTATTCATCAAATGAGTGACTTTGTGGGCATAATTCTACACTCCAAGCTTCCAAAAACTCAAGGTAATCATTCACTTGAATACTAGATAATTCAAAACTCTAAATTTAGACTACCCTACAGTAAATATCCAAAACTAAACCTTCGAACACTCTAATGGTTTGGCAAACAAAATCTTATGACTTAAAAGAAATGTACAAAGTGACTTAGCTTCCCAACTAATCAACAATAACCAAAAAGTTAAAAAAAAAAAAAATTATTTAACGGGAAATCTTTAACACGAGTAGAAGAGTTTGAATATGAAAATGGTACAAGGCAGAATATCTTGCAACAAAAAGAATTAAAAATTGTAGACTACTTAGACGAGCTGGTCAACAAGTTATAAGTTTGTTACTGAGAGAAAACACAGTTGCAACATATAAACTTAAATGACTAGAAATCTCAACTAGTCAAACTCTACCCAGTTCAATTTTAATAACATGTATTCATGCATAAAACTTATTCACTTATCATATCACGTAATAATAGCAAGTAGCATAAACAATAATATAAGTAGACAAGTTGCTTGAAATATACAAAACAACTTTTTGCTCGAAAAAACCCTAGCTAGGTTAAAAAACCAGGGATTCCAGAAAGTCCAATCCACTAGTGAAAATAAGGTTCACATCAGGATAACACAACAAGTTCAATATCTAAACCTATTATATGGAGCTGCTTCTAAGGTTTTTGTTGGAGAGGAAAAACAGAAACATTCTTTGAAAATAAAGTTCCAAACGTAGGCCAAAAAGCACCTACAACACCTTTTAAAACAAGAAGATCTTTCCTTTTGGATTAGCTGAAGTACAAAACACAAGGACACTTGTCGAGTGCAAATACAATCTGAAAGGAACAATGGTGAAAGAATCACTTCAGTATAAAAGGTGTCAGACCAACTCATGTGTGTGTTTTACTAATCATAGTGCATAGAAATTTAAAAGTGAAATACATATGCATAAAATAACTTGACTTTTGTTGAACCACATCCATTTACACTTGGATCTTTAACTTCTCAAACTTCGATACTAATACTAAGTGTATAAAGCCTAATCTAATGAAAATTGATCTAAAATGCTTGTGTAATAAAATATTACAAGTTTAACAAGAAAAGTCAAATACTACTAACTCTAGACTTCACATAATCTAATTCCACAATAAAAATAAAAATTAGGCTAAGCAGGTAAATTATGAAATATATATATATAATTGTTATTAGCACTCCAAAAATCTCATTTGACATTCCTCACAAGTGTATTTTTCTTTCTAATTATAGAAAGTTTGGAGTGCTAAATGAGATTTTTGAAATACTAATAATAATTCCCTATATATATGATTTAGGATTCATGGACACTCTCTTTTGACACACATTGTGACATCCATTTTGCAGGCTTACTTCATAATATATTTCACCGATTCGAACTGTCTATATTTTAATACATCATTTATAGATCATCATTGCAAAAACTTGGACAAATCTAAAACCACTAAGATATTCATTTGAAGTGAATGAATTGGAAAACGAGTTTCAGATTGGGTAATTTTTGAGGTAAGTCATAAAAGATAGACGGTTAAATCGTTGAAATACATTATAGAGTAAGCCTCACAAAAACGTATATATACATATAAGATACGGGGACACATGTTTTTGATAAACACTTTGACTCACGTTTTTGTAGAGCCCAATCTGTAATGTATTTTAACGATCCACCCGTCTATCTTTTCCAAAGCTATGCAGAGATTGTTGGGTTAAATTTAATGTTTCTTTGTAAAACTGTATTCGTCCATTTTCTTTATCATGAATGAATGTCTTAATGATTTTTTATTTGTCTAATATATATATATATATATTGCAAAAATGATCCATGAATGATGAACTAAAATATAAATGGTTCAAATTGTTGAATTACATTACAAAGTGGACCCTTCAAAATATGTGTCAAAATGTATCCCCGAATCCTATCCCTATAAATACATGAAATTTTACAGTAAGCATTCCTCGCATCTGACTCTACAAACAGTCTCGAGCACACATGTGAGCCTCCACTGTGCTTGAATGAAGCTAACTACGATGTGAGTTGATAATCTTATACTATTGCCAAATGTAGACTTTGAAGCCAATGTGGATGCAGGAATAGTCAAAATGTCTCGCACTATCTAATGTAAAATTGGATATTCAATCCCATTTGTCATCCATCCGACAAAATATCAAAATTTTGAGCCCTAAGCAAGATTTTCTCCCCCAAATACAAGTCTAAGTCGGGTTGTTCGTTATCGATGGTGGAATCCCTTACAAACTGGTCATAAGATTCAACAGGTCACTAACTCTGAAATCATACATGAGTTTGGAGGAAGGAAAAGAGGATGCATGAAACACCACATGTCTTGATATACACACTTTATCACAGGGTCTAACATCTGTAGCCAATATGTTGTGCATTATAAACCAAGAAAACACAAGATGTACTCTTGGGCTCCAATTTATTTTGTCATATGTTTGTACCGTACTTTATCAATCCCGAAACTATCAAACACTGGTCACCTTCATACCTTCAAGGATCTATTGAAGGGTTCATGCTAAGGCACCCCTGCCGAAGAACAAGAATTTCCCTCCACCCAAGAGACCAATCACAATACGACACGTGTCAACGTTAGAACAAAGTTCCTAAAGTCCCACATTGACTGCGGATGGAAGCTAGAGACTCTTCTCAACTATAAAAGAAGATCATTCTCCTACATATAATAACGAATATCATTATTGTACTTAAACCCGTCATTAGAACTCACTAATGATGATTATGCTTGAACCTATGTATTGTGTAAACCCTTCACTATTAATGAGAACGTCTCTACCCTATGGACGTAGCCAAACTTAGGGTGAACCACCTACATCTTGTGTTTGCTTCCCTATCTGTATCTCTTTACATATTACCCTTACTAGGTGACCAGGGCAATCGAGCGAATGTCACAAACTCGACACTTTATGTTGTTCCAAAGTCTCACTGATTTTGTGTATCAACATCATAGATTGTTGTCAAGGAAAATATTTACATCCAAACACCTTCATGCACGAGTAAGACGATGGAGTGGAAAAGAGAATCTAGACTCAACACCTTATCTATTGGGATATTGAATCATATGCTTCATGGACCTAAACTTAATTGGGATGAACTGCGGGAGGTGGGAGGAGCTGGGGTGGTGGTCTGAAATGAAAAGGGGGATTTTGTGGCTGCTATGTTGAAGAAACGTATGGGAGTCTCCCCACCGCTGCTGGCTGAGGCGCTGGCGGCCAGACAAGCAGCCTGTTTGTGCAGGACTTGCAGGTTGCGAAGGTGGAAATGGAGGGAGACACTGTTGGTGTTGGCCGCCTTGCAAAAGGACGGGGAGTGATGCACCTCTGAATGTTTATCGCAGTCTCCGAACAAAATCGAATAGGCTTTTCATTAGAGTGCATTGAACGATATTATGTAGAAGACATTACTTGATTTGTTAACAATATAGCCAATTCACAAGTGCACACACGCTGACACATGACACTACTAGTACCACAGAAACGCCAATTAACAGATACGCTAATCCTATCTCGCGCTGAAGACTGGTTCTGCATCAGCAGTTGGTTGTGTTCTTCTAGTGTATTTGAGAAGCAAACCTTCCGCAGAAAGGCCCGGCACATTCAAGTCCCTAAGAAGTAGATTCAGACAAGGAAAATGTAAATTACTTTTGATCAAAGTCTCAAAAACAGGAATACACCAGAAAAGGAAAATGGAGGATCACAAGAAATACAAACCAACCTGATAAAGGGCTGTAGATCCTTCCACTCCCATTTTGCACGCTCCTTAAAAAGGATGGAGAATCGCTCTGCAGGATTGTAGGGTAGAGATGAAACACTGAAGGCTCGAATCCATGTCTCAGCTCCAAGCTTCTCTATCAAAACTTCACCTTCCAATATGTCAAAACTGGCTGCCATCCCTTCGGGAACCTTACGAACCCATTCCTCCATGAACTTCTTCATCTTCCTCTTCCCATCTCTCAAGATTTCTCTTGCAAAATGCACACATACCTTTCTCTCATCCAACTTCCACATACGACTTGTAATCGCACCTTCAGTCATCTTATTACCAAAAATATGCAAGCAGTGGTCTGCAAGTTTGTGAGGAAAGCCATCTGATTCCAACATATTAACAACATCATCTTGATTAAGCAAAGACAAGGACCAATCATTCAACACTGAATTGTGCAAAAGCATCCTTAGAATTGTGCCCATGTACTTCTCATCGACAATTCTCCAATATCCATTTATCTCCACTGCTGAAAGAGCCCGCAATCCAATCCTTAATTCGTAATCGCTAGCTTGAACCTTCTCGATGAGATCATTCCATCTATACAGCCCAGCATTCGTTCTCTCCATCTCTTCTAAATCCACCATTTCTATGTCCTCATCAGATCGGTAAGGATTCTGGGAAAGTAGCAACCTTAGCTTGTCAAGTCGGGGAGCAACTTCAACAAGCTCCATGTTACCAGTTGCAATCTTAATGATGGAAGCAACAGATAGGGGGTCATGATAGTTCTCATTGGAACACTTTGGGCTTTCAAAAGTATTATATTGACCTGATGGGGGTATGAGAAAAACAGAATTTGAAGTTCCAACGGACTTCATTGCATAAGTTTTTGACTCCGTGCAGAGGACTGCATCTTCATCAGGCTGTCCTCTAACAGTTACTCTAGAGAAATGAAGAAGAGAAGAAAAGAAATCGCAAATAAGTAACAATAAATAACACTCTACTGACCCAAGAACAAAAGTTCCAGAAAGTAGTTTAATTTATCCCTCACCTTTGGTGGAGGACATCAGGGAGAAGTTTCTGATCAACCTCGAGGAGGATCAGATCATCGTGAGGACCAAAGAGCGGGTGATATGTAATAGGAATTGATGAGTTGGGTTGGAGACTTAGTACTGCTTCTGCACCTGTGCAGCCTGGAGATGGTGGATCCATATTTTTCTCCATACACACACAGAGAGAGATAGATGTAAAGAAGAAAAATGGGACTACTGCATGAGAGTCCCAACTTCCACTAGAAAGTATCAATAGTTGAAAGCCAAGATGATGATTAACCCTTGTCGTTTACAGTCAATTGTTGCCTTCCGGACTGAGTTGCCTAAAGTTTAACTGTAAGAAAATGTTTTAGATTCCGTATTTAACGGTGTCAGGTTCAAAAATACGAGCAAAGAAGCTACTGAAACCACTGTAGTTAAGTATAGCAACTTTTTAGGTGCCCTCACTAAATACACTAAAAAATTCCGTTCTTTATATAGCAATCAAATTTGTCATTGTTATGGAATTGTGACAATTAATTATGCAATCTAAACTTGCCAATTAATTAAGAATCGCAGATTAGGCAAGGCAAATTTGTAACGATCAGTCAATTCCGATAACGGGATTAAACCCCCTTGAAATTGTCTACAAATAAACACCAGAAAAAACCACAATTATGCTTCTGGCTACATGCTACAAACCAAATATCCCTAAAACCCAAAAGGTAAATCCCGATTCTTTTTCCGTTATCTCGTTTTCCTACATTTTCTGAGCAACCAAACATTGCCTGACGGCATTCCAAAAATTACACACAAAAAAACCAATTTGACATTTCTCAAGTTGCAAATTTACATCTTGCACAATCCCCATTTACCCAAACGAGAAATCAGATGACCTATGACCTTTCTAGCGAAAATGACAAAACAGAGAGAGAGACACTTACATTGCTAGGGCAGAAACGATGAAAATCCAGGGTTTTTGCAGGGTAAACGACGCCGTACCCTGGTTTTCCGACTCGCTAGGGTTTCAAAGTGTGAGGAGAGTGAGGAAGGTGTAAAGAGGTTTATGGCGCGCTAAGATTTCCTATTTCATTTTTTGGCCCGCCTAGAGATGCAACGAAACGACAGCGTTTTCAGGTGCCCCAACAGAAAAATGGATAACCTGGCTGGGCTTTGCCCGGTACACTCCTCTTGATCCATCCTCCTATATTTCTTGTTTTATTTTTCTTTACCTTGTTAATATTTCATTGTTTTACTTAGGTAATTTGCTTCTATTGTTGTTGAAATTGAATATAGCTGAGAAATTTATAGATAGTAGTAGTTCGCTAACCTCTCTAAGCTAACATACGATACAATTTCACTTCAAGGCACGGCCAAAATAAATTCTACCATTTTCAATAACTAATAGAGTGAAGTGTCGATTTAGTCCCTAAATTATCACCTCAATGAAAATTAGGTCACTGAATTATTTTTTCGGTAAAATAAGTCGCTAAATTCATTAAAAATTGCTAATTTCATTCCTACTATTATATTCAAAGCTATTTTATTCAAATTTTCATCAACTTAAGTCACTTGACACACTTTAGAGTGAAATACCGTCATTTTCTCGCCTCTAAGCCCTTAACATTTTATATAGGTTACAAATCTAACGTCTAATTTACCCTCCAAAATTAACTCCATACACTATTTCTTTATGAAAATTACCATATAAAGTTAACTCCATACACTATTTCTTTATGAAAATTTACCAATATACCCTCCAATGTGTATCACATGCAAATAACATGACTTAAATTGACAAAAATTGAACATAGTAACTTCGAATATAATATTAGGGATGTAATTGACATATTTTTATAATTCAAGGACTAACTTAATTTTCACTCAGGTGATAATTCAGGGACTAAATTGACAGTTCACCCGAGATTGGTAATTTTTCTTAAAGAAATAATGTATGGAGTTAACTTTAGATGGTAATTTTCATAAAGAAATAGTGTATGGAGTTAACTTTGGAGGGTAAATTAGACATTAGATTTGAAACCTATATAAAATGTTAAGGACTTATAGGCGAGAAAATGACGATATTTCACATGAAAGTGTGTCAAATGACTTAAGTTGACGAAAAATTGAATATAGTAACTTCGAATATAATATTAGGGATGTAATTGGCATATTTTTATAATTCAAGAACTAATTTTTCTAAAAGAATAGTTTAGGGTTGATTTTCACTCAGGTGATAATTCAGGGACTAAATTGGCAGTTCATCCGTAATTAGTATATTGTTTTATGGAGCTAAGTTCCAAAATATGGAAGAACAAGTGCTTCCACGAATCTACCGCCCTTCCAATTTTAAGTAAAGGCTCTCCTTCGATCATAAATTGATGGATAAGGAGAAAGACATGAATAAACAGATGATTCACCAATGACAAGAATCGAACTCAAGATGTACAGTATGAAATGCAGGCCTAAAATTCGTCTCCAACCACTAGGCAACCCCAATGGTGGTTGATCAAATGCAATGGTTAGGTAAAGCTTAAAATTTGAACTTTAAATCCTCTAAAGTATTTCCAATTATTGGGCTTTAATAAGCCATAGAGAGAGAGAGAGAGAGAGAGAGAGAGAGAGAGAGAACTTTTGGTCCAGATTCCCTTGACAATTTGAGTGAGGATCCTCAAATCAAATTCGTTTATCGTACATTGTGTGGTCAGAATTCATTGTAATTTTTTTATTTAATATTAAATATAAACAAGTACCTGACGAAAACTGGCCGCACGATATACAATGAATGGATGTGATTGAAGGATTCGGCGAGGATCCTCTCTCTGACAGTTTTAGCTTGGTTTAAGTCTTTGGGTCCACCCTGTGTATATATGTGCTGAAGAAACTGACTCACTCGACCAATTGGCACGCCTCACTCGCCACACTTAACAAAGATGCAACAATTTGGTCCCAGTGCTAACAACTTTTTCGGTCACTTGTTTTAAGCCTAACGACTCTTTCTTTGATCAAATAGTTGGCATGATTAGGCTTTTGGTTGATCCAACGATCCACAATTAAATTCAATGGCTAACAAAAATTTTAAATATTTTAACTTAACTTTGACCCCAAAAAACCCTATGAATACCTATGTATTTGTTCTCCACAAAATTCACTTTCTTCATACAATTCTTTCGTTTTTCTGCTAACGACTCTTTCTTTGATCAAATAGTTGGCAAGATTAGGCTTTTGGTTGATCCAATGATCCACAATTAAATTCAATGGCTTACAAATTTTTTTAATATTTTAACTCAACTTTGACCCAAAAAAACCCTATGAATACTTGTGTATTTGTTCTCCACAAAATTCACTTTCTTCATACAATTCTTTCATTTTTCTTTCTACCCACTTCCAAAACTATTTCATATCATGTGGTGCATATGTGTATGTCTTTAAGACTGGGGTAGGTTGTGTGATTAAATTAGGATAACAAATCATTCTTTAACAATATGGGGCTTAAAAGCCATAACCATTAGATAAAAAAGTTGTTTCTAGGTTCTGCCTTGATATTCTCTTGCTTAAAATTTTAAGCTTTAACCCAAAACCATTGCACATGGTCTAAGGAGATGTAACTTTACATTTATAAGCTACCGTCATTTGGCTAAGGAATGCATCCCTTAAATGCCTTTTTGCAATTCTAATATAGAAGTTAGTTGCATTTGAAATAATACAACTAATCCAACAAAAGTTAGAACTGACACATTTTTTATTCGAACAAATAAATTATAATAAATTTGCCACGCTCCAATTCCGAGATACGTTCGGGATCAACACGTGACGTCACTATATACCTGTTCATCTTTCATGGCCTCCAAGACATGACCAAAACATAAATCAATGGTTTAACAATGCAGTAACTTTCCTTTTTATATCATGACTGCATCTAACCTCTATGATAGACTACCCTAAAATAGGATCAAACCATTCGTAGTTCACCCTTCATTAGACTCCGACATTTATCATAGTATGTTCTAAAAGAAAAGCATAGAATTCCCTAATCACTTAATGGAACTCGACAAGCATGATTTTTTAGATTCCATACTACATAAAGCAACCATTTCACGACCAAGATTGTCATTTCGTCATTCACACATATCACAATGCTTTCCAACACAAATTCACAATCATAGCAATTAATTGATTCAATGACTCAAGATGTATAATTTAACTATGTTAATTAATCAATAAAATCAAGTATCAATCCGCGAAGTTTTACAAAGCAAACCTCCATATTTTCTTACCTGGAGTCCAAGGAATAAAATTGTAACCCAAATTTACAAACACAAATGGAGTAAGTTATATTCACTAGAATCTAGGGTTCAAGGCTAACTCAATGGAACCAAACAAGAGCTAGGACTCCGGACGGAACCCAACCAGAAAGCAATCATCCATCGCGGATTTACCAACTACTCCATACAATCCTATGCAGGCAATGATCAACCATCATGGATATACAAGACACAATCACCTAATCCAATCTGGAAGATCTGTGCATTGGATTTTCGATCCGTAAATTCCTAATATCCTCAAATATTATGTTTAACTACATACTATAATTTTGTGACAATCCAACGGTCGGATCTTCGCCTACCACAAAGGTCAAGTGGTTGTCATTTATGAAATTGTGCTAAAACGATTGGATCTTATCAAGCTGATGTCAAAAACGGATTCAGGTATTGACATTAGCCTAGTAGACAAAGCATTTCGTCAAGCTCATGTGTCGCCACCATACGCGACAGTCAGCAGCCATGACTTGTCGAAATTTCTTACCAACTCCAAAATGACTCAACTTTCACCAGAGTGTACACTATAACTAGTGGAGTAACTTTCAACTTCGCATGAGATTGGTTGTGGATGGAAGCGGCGAAAATCACCGAGAACCATCAGATCACTGGAAAAAATGGTAGCCTCACCGCACGCTACACCAACGGACAATCGGAAGGTTAGGTTTTGCTCCTGGGACTGTGCCTTGTCAATTGATGGTGTTAGTTGCCAGAGTGTTCAACAAAACTGGAAGATCGTTGCCCGTAGAAAATTCGAGATTTTCACGGCTTTGAGCTGCCTTGTGTGGCGACCAAATGAAGTAAAACTTGGGTGGGTTCTATTCGTGGCACCGAGAGCAGTAGAACGGTGGTGGTGGCAACGATGCTCGTTGCCGGAGTTTCCTATAAACTCACTTGGGAAGCTTAGATGGGAAACAGGTCGAAGGCAGATATTCGAGTCATGACAGACAAGTGAGTTCATGGGATTGGTCTAGGAAAAAGGAGGGCCAATCCAGGCCACCCACGTGGATTCCTTATATGGAATCCCTTATCCAGCCCGCTTACCCAAATAAACATTATGTCGACTGGGATATGGTTGGGGAACAAAAAGTGCAGAGGATTGTCATGTCATATGGTGAGTGGAACCGATATCAAAATAATAGTTCAAATCTGACTGATGAGTAAATTGAACTTTGGCAAAAGGATGAGCGATATCGGGCCCATGAGTACTAGTGAGGACATGTTACGAGGGTGTGTTTAAAGGTATAGCATGTAGAACACCATCAACAATGGCAAGACTGGTTGCCCCAGGCCAAGTGGGCTGTTGCAAGACCTGAAATTCATGTCGTGTTTATCGTGTTTATGTTATTGTGTCGTGTAACACTCAATAAAATGAAAGGATAATATGACTCGATTTGTTAATACTAACGGATAATATAACCCGACTTGTTTGATACCCCGACCTAGAATGTCCACCTAGACTCCGAATCGAGTTATGCTGGCCGATACAGGAGGGTGACGAAACCATAAAATGTAGTGATGTGGAAAATGTCTATTTAATGTGCTGATTTATCTTGAGATTTGTTTTGTTTTTTAATTATTGTCCAATTAATTTGACCATTTTTTCAATATTTTTTAAGCCACACAACGTTATTTCTCTTAAAATTTAAGGAATTGAATGATCGCTTCAATGAGGTAAACATCGAGTTGCTTCTTTGTATGACATGTTTGAGTCTAGTGAATAATTTTGCATCTTTTGAATAATTAAGCGAATTTCTGTTTGGACCACAACATT